CGGATCCAAATCACATGAATATAGATGACGGTCCGACTTGTAGGCGACTTCCATTAACTGCTTCCGCACTGCCCTATAGCAGAAATACTGCTACAGGGCCGCACGGGTGCGCAAAATCACACACACATACATATATGTGTGTGTGTGTATGTGTGTGTGTGTGTGTGTGATTTTGCAACCACACCATATATTTAAAAATCTAAAACATTTTTAGATGTTCAAAAATATCTGCTACAGGGGCGGCACGGGTGCACAAAATCACACACACACACACATACATATATGTGTGTGTGTGTGTGATTTTGCAACCGCACCACATATTTAAAAATCTAAAACATTTTTAGATGTTCAAAAAATATCTGGAAAATATATATTTAAAAAAATATATTTTTTAAATATATGCCTTTTGAAAATATATTTGAATTTACATTTTTGGAATACATGTGAAAATACATTTGAGTAGGCCAATATATTGTAAATATATGTCGTATATATAATTTTTTTTTCTAAATATATTGGAAATATATTTCTCTTCTTGTGCGGGTGCTAACATGGGTATACCATGGGATACCTGTCCAGAGGTGGACTGACCATTTGGAAACACGGGCACTGCTTGAGGGTCCGGGGTCAGTAGGGGCCCCGTGAGATGCCCCTGGTAACTTTTTCATAGGCTTTTTTGAGTTTGGGCAAGGACACAGGGGCCCCATGATCCCCTATTGCCTGGTTAGCCCCATGTACCCCTCTACTATAAACATCTGTTTGCACTAATAAGATTTGGTGGAACAGTAGGCAGCCTGGACCTACACTTCAGATTTCCATGCAACCCTGATTTTTTTTTGAATATTAACCACTTCCAGTCCGGACACTTTCCCCCCTTCCTGTCCAGGGCAATTTTCAGCTTTCAGCGCTATCACACTTTGAATAACAATTGCACGGTCATGCAACACTGTACCCAAATGAATTTTTTACCATTTTTTGAGACAGATAAAGCTTTATTTTGGTGGTATTTATTCACCGCTGGGATTTTTATTTTTTTTTTGCTATGTAAATGAAAAAGTCCAAAAATTTTGAAAAAAAAGTGTTTTTTTAATAAAATTTTGAAAATAAATAATAATATTTCATCATAAATCTTGGCCAAAATTTATTCTGTTATCTTTTTAGTAAAATAAAAAATCCAAATTAGTTTATAACCAAAAATTATAATTTTTTAAACATTTTTTTTTACATTTTTATTTAATTTTTTTTATATTAATATTTTTTTTTATTTATTTTTTTACATACTGTCACCCTAGCATTACAGTGTCACCATGGTGACACTGTACTACTTGTGTGGGGGTGATGAAGGTTTTTTTTTTTTTTTTTTACACTGATTGCTTTTACACCCATATAAGATGTAAAAGCAATCATTTCTCTTTTTCTCTGTCTGCATTCTTGCAGTCATTGGAGAAGTACTGAGTAAGCTGTGATTGGTCACAGCTTGTCATATGGTACAGGCTTTTGTGAATAGCCTTGTACCATGTGACCCCTGTGATCATTCACAGATTTCACATGTAGTAAGCAATGATGTCACAAGTGACATCTTGCTTACTACTTTGCATGTGATCACTGATTGGCCAATCAGTGATCACATGATCGGGACCTCGTACAGAGGTCCCATCCGACGATTGATGTTTCATTGTGTCCGGAGGACACAGCGGGCACCGGATCGCGGTGCTGCGCTCTCCCAGGGAGCGCACACAAGCAGGGTGCGGGGAGGCCGTTTATAAACGGCCACACACCCCTGCACTGCCACCGTCCGGCCGTTTATATAGAACGGACGGTCGGGAAGTGGTTAAAAAAGCAATGAACTGTTTACATGGCTTTGTTTTTCAACAAAGCCATTGATCACCTTGTCTTGGCTAGCATGGTTACCGGTTGCTTCAATGATAAACACAGCCATGTGATTACATCTCGTAAATGAGTTTTTTCACAGTTCTTATCTCATTAAAAGATACTTTTTTGATATCCCTTCAATTCAAAAACTTGTAGCAGTAGGAATAAAGTGATCTGCTTACCAAGGCCAAAGGTCCATAAGGGTAGAAACCAGAGCCATAAATACCTGGCCACTGGATATCATCATAATTGTACAGAAGGAAGGTCTGATCGCCATCGGTGCTCAGGACGGCCTGAAATGTGTTCACCTGTAAATACAACAAATAAATGTTCACTATTAAACCTGTGAAAGACATTTTTTTTTTTTATCCGAACAACTTTTATTGTCAAGAATAATAGAGAAAATGGAACAATACTTACAGAATCCACAACCACATCACTGCAACAGCACATAAATAGAACACCGTGGATACGCAGATCCCATAATAAACAGCATAACAGAAATGGTAATCAAACAAAACGAAGACCACAAGGATCCAAAACTTTTTTGATAACATCTTGCTTTTTCCTTCCCGACCAGATGCAAACAGAAATGGGGGAAAAGAACAAAGCCCAAAATATGCCTCCAAACAAAAAAAAAAAACACGTCAACAACAACCCTTGGTTCACCCAAGACGTCCCACCAAAAAGAATGGGAGATGATGCACATGAACTCCCCCAGGGGGAGGAGTGGAGCCACGCACCTGAAATAAAATATCACACCTGCAAAAGTCGGTCCACTATCAATTGAGGAGGGGCAAGCCCAGGTGTATCCAGCCAATCTACTGTGAAGAAAAAAGCAACCGAATGCCTGAGCTCCTGCGCTGGACAATGGACTCCATTGGACTCCACTGGACTCCACTGGACTCCGTTGAGGGCAAGCCCTGCTGCCCTCAACGGACAGGAAAATCCAAGGAGAACTGTATATAAAAAGACACCCCCCCCCCCCCCCCTCCCCCCCCCCCCTAGACAAAAAGAGGCGCACAGGCCTCCGATATTGCTTGATGTACCAAATAAACCCCTCCTCCCCTTTTTTCCCCTCTATGTCTCTGCCCAATGGGCCAACACACACCACATGGTCCCTAGCCCATTTAAAAGAGGACACAGGCTGTGTAGACACTGGCTCTGAGGAAGACCTAGAACCTCGGAAACGCATCAGCCACCAGCTATCCAGAGGTCTACAGTCCCCCACCAGACTACCTTCAGGGCTTTTGGACCAGATTGCATCCAATATTGCTTAATGTACCAAATAAACCCCCCCCTCCCCCTTTTTTCCCCCCTATGTCTCCGGGACCTACCACCACACACACACATGGTCCCTAGCCCATTTAAGAGAGGACACAGGCTGTGTAGACACTGGCTCTGAGGAAGAGGTACAACCTCGAAAAAAGCGTCAGCCACCAGCTATCCAGAGGTCTACAGTCGCCCACCAGACTACCTTCAGGGGATTTTGGACCACATTGCATCCCTTGTGACGTGCTTTCCATTTGATTTTATTTCTCTTGTGAGTATTTTACTTTTTATCAATAAATCTCATCTTTAAAGGAATGCACTAGGCCCGTGCGCCCTCTTTTTGTCTCTTTATATACAGTATCCAGCCAACCCTGCCATACCTGCCGGAACGTGCGATAAGCATTGCGATGTTGGTACGTGAGTTTCTCCCGCAAGAGTAAAGAAGTAACATAATCAGGGGCGGACTGACAACTCATGGGGCCCCCGGGCAATAGGGGATCATGGGGCCCCTGTGTCCTTGCCCAAACTCAAAAAAGTCTATGAAAAAGGTACCAGGGGGCATCTCATGGGGCCCCCTACTGACCCCGGCCCTCGGGCAGTGCTCAAGTTTCCAAATGGTCAGTCCGCCCCTGAACATAATCTATCCATTGCTTTCTAGTCGGAGAAGCCGATGATAACCGGTACCTTGCTATCGACTTCCTAGCCAGATATAAAAGTCTAGATACCATAATATACCCTCCTGGTTGGAACAGTGAAAGACATTTTAAAGGTTAAAAAAACCAACCATTGTTGCAATAAAAAAAAAAAAATGCCATCGTAGTAATATTTTTACCCTGTTTGTTGAAGATCCAAAATAAGTAACTTGGTGCCACGTGGCTACAAACACCCACTGAGCCGTGAAATTCACGACATGGAAGTACGTTCTGATATCGGAGGTGGCTCGGGACAGAAGAGCGGGATCGGTGCTCTCACGGTAAAATATATCACCCGTCAATCTATTATCAACATCTGTCCAGAAGACGGCCAGGAACGGGTTTCCAAATGACACAGGAAGAGCTTGTGGTGTATATTGACTGATTGGTGAGTTGAATGACAACAGGCCATTATTGTTCACCTGTGAAGGAGAAAATAGAGAAAAAAAAATATTTTTGCAATGTAGTGTTTGTCGGGAATGGTACCTAATTGGTTAATAGAGGGAGGTGAGTGTGTGACCCGTAAACATAAATTCTATTGGTGAAGCCTAATTTTGAAAATACGTATGAAAAAAAAAAAAAAATAGAATTAATAAACAGAAGAGATTGTTCCAGCAATATACTCACATAGAGATAAAAGTAATCTCTTCCAAAAAGTGGGATGTTTCTGAAAAGATGTATTATTGGAGATTTTTTTTTTTTTGCACCCACAGCAATATACAGTCCAAGAATAGTAGCTAATTACCTAATACATAGGCATGACTGTGTAATATACTGATAAGAATCAAGCCTCCTTTCATGATAGTAAGAGAATTTTATAAGAATGTTTCAGAAGTTAAATCCAAAATAAATGAGGAAAAGAAATATCAAGCGTGATGCTTACAAAAAGATAATAGTAACTTCTTCCAAAAAGTGGGATTTGTCTGGAGGAAAATATATTATTGGAGATCCTCCATCAAGTTCCTTTGGATTGATATTGTCAATGGCGGATCCATATGGGTAGAGGAGATCTAAAGCAAAGATGAAAGTTCATGTTATGCAAAAAAAAAGAAAAAAGAACAAATTAGGATGTTTAATAAACATGGGTCTGCCTTAATTGGTGTAGATTATATCAGCTTTAACCACTTCCAGTCCGGACACTTTCACCCCCTTCCAGTCCGGACACTTTCACCCCCTTCCAGTCCGGACACTTTCACCCCCTTCCTGTCCGGACACTTCCCCCCCCTTCCAGTCCGGACACTTTCACCCCCTTCCAGTCCGGACACTTTCCCCCTTCCAGTCCGGACACTTTCCCCCCCTTCCAGTCCGGACACTTTCACCCCCTTCCAGTCCCAGACACTTTCACCCCCTTCCAGTCCGGACACTTTCCCCCCCTTTCCAGTCCGGACACTTCACACCCCTTCCAGTCCGGACACTTTCACCCCCTTCCAGTCCGGACACTTTCCCCCCCTTCTAGTCCGGACACTTTCCCCCCCTTCCAGTCCGGACACTTTCACCCCCTTCCAGTCCGGACACTTTCCCCCCCTTCCAGTCCGGACACTTTCCCCCCCTTCCAGTCCGGACACTTTCACCCCCTTCCTGTCCGGACACTTTCACCCCCTTCCAGTCCGGACACTTTCCCCCCCTTCCAGTCCAGACACTTTCCCCCCCTTCCAGTCCGGACACTTTCCCCCCCTTCCAGTCCGGACACTTTCACCCCCTTCCAGTCTGGACACTTTCCCCTCCTTCCAGTCCGGACACTTTCCCCCCCTTCCAGTCCAGACACTTTCCCCCTCTTCCAGTCCGGACACTTTCACCCCCTTCCAGTCCGGACACTTTCACCCCCTTCCAGTCCGGACACTTTCACCCCCTTCCAGTCCGGACACTTTCCCCTCCTTCCAGTCCGGACACTTTCCCCCCCTTCCAGTCCAGACACTTTCCCCCTCTTCCAGTCCGGACACTTTCACCCCCTTCCAGTCCGGACACTTTCACCCCCCCCTTCCTGTCCAGGCCAATTTTCAGCTTTCAGCGCTGTCACACTTTGAATGATAATTGCGCGGTCATGCAACACTGTATCCATATGAACTTTTTTAGCATTTTTTTGAAACAGATAAAACTTTATTTTGGTGGTATTTATTCACCACTGGGATTTTTTTTTTTTGCTATAAAAATGAAAAAGTCCAAAAATTTAGGAAAAACATGTTTTTCTTATAACATTTTGCAAGTAAATAATCTTTCTTCATAAATCTTGGCCAAAGTTTATTCAGTTATCTTTTTAGTAAAAAAAAAAAATAACCCAAATTAGTTTATAACCAAAAATTATAATTTAAAAAAAAAAAAATTTTTTTACATTTTTTTTTGTAATTTTATTATTTATTTTTTTTTTTTTTAACATACTGTCACCCTACCAGTACAGTGTCACTATAGTGACACTACACTACTTGTGGGGGGTGATGAAGATTTTTTTTTTTTTACATTGATTGCTTTTATACCCATAAAGGCTGTAAAAGCAATCATTTCTCCTTCTCTATGGCTGCATTCCTGCAGCCTGTGAGAAATACTGTGTGAGCTGAGATTGGTCACAGCTTGTCACATGGTACAAGGCTGTTGTGAATGGCCCTGTACCATGTGTCCTCTGTGATCATTCACAGATTTCACACGTAGTAAGCAATGATGTAAGAAGTGACATCTTGCTTACTACTCTTCATGTGATCACTGATTGGCCAATCAGTGATCACATGATTGGGACCTCACACAGTGGTCCCATACAGCGATTGGTGTTCCACTGTGTCCTCCAGACAAGCAGGGAAGCGGAAGGACGTTTATAAACAGCCACCCACCCCTGTACTGCTCCTCTGGACACAGTGGGCACTGGATCGCAGTGCTGCGCGCTCCCAGGGAGTGCGCACAATCCAAAAAGGCGGGCGCCATTTATGAACGGCAACCTGCCCCTGCACTGCACCATCCGGTAGTTTATATACAGCGGCCGAACGGGAAGTGGTTAAATACAACTTAAAAAGACCCAGTTAATGTACATGTTTAGACCGTGTACAAATGTGACCTATTTAAAAGATTAAAATAAAGAGCAACGATGATATAAAAAAGTGCAACAACACAAAACACCCAATCCAATATCAGTTAAATGATCTACCAAAAATACATTTTGGATATGGTGAATATCGAAAACCTTGGGATTTCAAATCTAGGAGTCTTTTAGTTGAATCCCATGGTCAAAAATTAAACTTCCCAGAGACAATAGATTATTTCTCCAGTTTTGACATTTTTAACCAAAATATGACAAGCCTGCCCACCACGACAAACTAAAGAAATTCCAAACGTCCCTTTCATAATGTTCCATTACATATTAATTGTATTAATAAAAATGATCCTGGACTCTACTTCCTGATCCTATAGACAGAGTTTGCTGCTGGACGGCTGGATGTCCCACCTGGATCTAATCACACCACATGATGAGTCTTTTTAACTATGTATCTTGTAAGTGCAATTTATCTATTGTTTACTAAATAAAAATTGTCAATACTGCACTTAGAGGCGCCTTCCTCTCTTTTTCATATTAATAAAAAATGAACTGCCCCCCAAATCCTACAATAATCTCATAAAAACCAAAGCAAACTCCTTGAAAGCCCCTAAAAGTGGCAATTTTGTATCAATTTGTTGTTTTATTGTTGGATTTCTAATTGTTGTTTATTTTTTATAGTAATTATGGAAATACTGCAGAATTCATTGGGATGTTTCATGGGAAAACATTTTACATACACAAAAAAAAATTCAGAAAATCATCAAAAACGTTTCATAACCTGTACACCATATGTAAATTTGTACCGGAGGAGAGTAAAATGGAAAACTCTGCTCCATCATCCTTGCAACCCAAATCTGCAGAATTGTTATCCAAATTGTCCTCCCAGTATCTGATACTACTGCCAAACCAAACATTAATAACCATTGCCGAATTTTCATCATAGGTGGAGACTCTTGCACTGAATCTGTTGGAGCAGCGGTACGGTAGGATTCATCATATACTGTATACAGTTGCATAGTTAGTCTGGCTGAAAAAAGACAAAAGTCCATCCAGTTCAAACATTAAAAAAAAAAGTTATAATCCTACATCCACAGTTGATCCAGAGGAAGGCAAAAAAAACCCAGCAAATCACAATCCAATTTGCTCCTGCAGGGGAAAAAATTCTTTCCTGATCCCCCGAGAGGCAATCGGATATTCCCTGGATCACCTTTACCTGTAAATGTTAGTATCCAGTTGTATTCTGTGTATCCAAGAAAGAATCCAGGATCATAGATCATGTTTTAAAAAGAAGATCTAAGGATCCCTCATGCCTAGTTTATACTACTTTGAATATTTCTTCTCGTCTTTCCATTACCTGAAGACAGTATGAAAGAAGAGGTATTGGTTGTGGAGCGTGTGGTGAAGGGTCCAGGTGTTGTTGTCAATGGAGAGTCCGTAGAAGTTTCATTTTCTGGAGAATCATCTAAGAAAAAGACACATACCTCAACATTTGTACACACAGAGGCCTCCTAACTCTACTAACCCATTCTGGTTTTGGTAAAATGGGAAAGGACCAAGAAAGACATATACCTCAACATTTGTACACACAGAGGCCTCTTAACTCTACTAACCCATTCTGGTTTTGGTATACTAGGAAAGGACCAAGAAAGACACATACCTCAACATTTGTACACACAGAGGCCTCCTAACTCTACTAACCCATTCTGGTTTTGGTAAAATAGGAAAGGACCAAGAAAGACACATACCTCAACATTTGTACACACAGAGGCCTCCTAACTCTACTAACCCATTCTGGTTTTGGTATACTAGGAAAGGACCAAGAAAGACACATACCTCAACATTTGTACACACAGAGGCCTCCTAACTCTACTAACCCATTCTGGTTTTGGTATACTAGGAAAGGACCAAGAAAGACACATACCTCAACATTTCTACACACAGAGGCCTCCTAACTCTACTAACCCATTCTGGTTTTGGTAAAATAGGAAAGGACCAAGAAAGACACATACCTCAACATTTGTACACACAGAGGCCTCCTAACTCTACTAACCCATTCTGGTTTTGGTAAAATAGGAAAGGACCAAGAAAGACACATACCTCAACATTTGTACACACAGAGGCCTCTTAACTCTACTAACCCATTCTGGTTTTGGTATAATAGGAAACGACCAAGAAAGACACATACCTCAACATTTGTACACACAGAGGCCTCCTAACTCTACTAACCCATTCTGGTTTTGGTAAGATAGGAAAGGACCAAGAAAGACACATACCTCAACATTTGTACACAGAGAGGCCTCCTAACTCTACTAACCCATTCTGGTTTTGGTAAAATAGGAAAGGACCAAGAAAGACAAATACCTCAACATTTGTACACACAGAGGCCTCCTAACTCTACTAACCCATTCTGGTTTTGGTAAAATAGGAAAGGACCAAGAAAGACACATACCTCAACATTTGTACACACAGAGGCCTCCTATCTCTACTAACCCATTCTGGTTTTGGTATAACAGGGAAGAACGAAGAAAGACACATACCTCAACATTTGTACACACAGAAACCTCCTAATTCTACTAACCCATTCTGGTTTTGGCAAAAAAGGAAAGGACCAAGAAAGACACATACCTCAACATTTGTACACACAGAGGCCTCCTAACTCTACTAACCCATTCTGGTTTTGGTATAATAGGAAAGGACCAAGAAAGACACAACACGTCCTCTGAGAATATATTGAAGGTAGTCTTTTCATTGATAGCTCAATTTTCTTAGAATGTGTTGTTGACGTGATTGTAATCACTATGATGGTTCAGCTAATGATGACTATGTGTCTTATTTTTACTCTTGATAAAAATATACAGAAAATTCTTTTGTAAAGTAAATCGGCTTGTTGATACGGATCCCGTTAATTTGTGTTAAGGACTCTAAATATTTTTCCACTTTTCCACTCGGGGTTATTCGATCTTATAAATGCAGCAAAGGGACTGATACCCAAGTTCTGGAGGGAACAAGAGGTACCGAAAATAGAAGATTGGATAGGAAGGGTGGATTATATGTATAGAATGGGAGGAACTTCATCATATATGGATGAAGATAAAATGGAGAGGTTCTGTAAAAGGTGTGAAAAATGGGAAGAGTTTAGGAGATCAAACATATATGTTGAATTGAAGGAGGTGGATAATCAAAAAGTATAAATTGGATAAAAAGGGGAGGTGGAAAGCCTGAGGATTCCTGAGCTGAGAAGAACGTGGAGCTGGGAGAAGAAGGTGGGGGGGAGGATTGGACGGGGGGGGGGTGGTTTTTTGAGTGGGGGAAGGTAAAAATTTGGGATTTAGTATTTGTACTTTGTTGTAATGATATGATAGTGGATCATTAATGTACGAAACATGTTGAAATTTAATAAAATATTAATAAAAAAAAAAAAACCTCTAAATATATGTTCACAATACTTTCCCTTTAAATTAGTTCAGAATTGGTCAGATAAAATATATATATATTACTACCACAGTGCTGAACACAGTGGAACCTCACCTATATTTCCATTGGCATCTTCTGGATGTTGTTGGTCCACTTTAAATGCCCAACGGCCGGTGACATTGACGTTGCTTGTAGATGATAAATTGGCTACGAAGGGTGTGAGGGATCCTGGGAGTGTGTAGTATCCTATATAGTAGCCGCTGTTCAGCCCAGCCTATGGGGTTCAAAAACATTTTTAAAGAATTGTTTCTGCAAATTACACTGAAAACATAGCTGTATAAACTTTATTTATTGATAATTAGGGGAAAACGTTCATGTTTGAGTGAGCAAAGTGACCTTTTATCACAGGTACTTACATACCCCTTCAATTTACGTAGTGCTTTACGTATATAGTACATTCACATCAGTCCCTAACCCTCAAGGGGGCGTACAATCTACGGTCCCTAACTCACATTCATACATACACATAGTAGGGACAATTTAGAGAGGAGCCAATTAACCTACCAGCATGTCTTTGGAGTGTGAGGGGAAACCGGAGTACCCAGAGGAAACCCATGCAGGCACAGGGGAGAACATGTAATACAATACATTACTTCCGAATTTTCTTTCTTTTGTACAAGAATTGTCGGAACTTTAGTAACCTTTAACCTGGATGATCATTCATCCGATATTCTCATTGTGTGTTTAGGGCTTAAAGGATAAGTTCATCTTGGGAACATGTTACATTTTTAGGGTGGAACATGTAACATGTTCCCATAGCCACAGCCGCCACCCCCTTCCCCTATTACAGGGGAGAAGCTTCTCCGTACTATCTGAAAACAGCATGGTCATGCGGGTCTCCACCCCACACAACTACGTCATTTATTCACGGATTTCTGTGACTGTATGAAGTGCAAGTCCTGACAGCCTTAGTGGCTGTGAGCTCCATGACAGTTCTGTACACCCCGTATATCCCGTACATCCCATACACCCCATACACCCTGTACATCCCATACACCCCATACACCCTGTACATCCCATACACCCCATACACCCTGTTCATCCCATATACCCTGTACACCCTGCACATCCCGTACAACCTGTACATCCCATACACCCCCGTACATCCCCATACATCCCGTACACCTCATACACCCCGTACACCCCATACACCCTGTACATCCCGTACACCTCATACACCCTGTACATCCCGTACACCCCATACACCCCGTAGACCTCATACACCCCCGTACACCCCATACATCCCGTGTACCTCATACACCCCGCATATCCAGTACACCCCATACATTCTGTACATCCCGTATACCTCATACACCCTGTACATCCCATGCACCCCATACACCCTGCACATCCCGTACACCCTGTACATCCTACACATCCCGTACACCCCGTACACCTCATACACCCTGTACATCCTACACATCCCATACACCCTGTTCATCCTATACATCCCGTACACCCCGTACACCTCATACACCCCGTA